TTTTTTTTATTATAGTTACACATTACCATAAACATTCTTTATATTATTTATATTTTATAAGAAAAATATGAATACAATTTTTTTAAATATAAATAGTAATAATGATATATTTATATCTAAATAACACGTAAGTAGATAAAATAATATCTTAAAGTCAACGTCATTTCCGTTATAAGAAAGGTCTGATTTGCAGTTTCTATAAAATAAAAATACTTTATTTTCAAGTTATTAACCCAATAATTAGTTGAATAATATTCCTATATAATAAATAATATAATTATATAATTAGTAAAATTGTTGTTATATCTTTTTCAAATATATATATAAATTTATAAAATACCATTTATAAAAATACAATTACCCTTTTTGTTAAAATATTCTACAAACAGGAAATTTTAGTTAATGAATTTTCATGAACAAATCACATAATTATTATATAATATATTTATTAGGCAGTCGGAATTACAACTTTTGTACTATCTAGTTAAAAATAGTTTCTTCACTTAACATTTTTATGTAAACATGTTGTTTATACATAAAGAATGTAAAAAAAATTACCTAAATACAAATATTTGTCTGAAATTCAAACATTGACTGTAATCAATTAAATACAACAAAATGTAATATAGTATATTTGTTACTTCATTTTCTTGAAGTATGTAACATGCATGGAAGACATTTGTCAAATAATTACAATATAAACTATTCATAAATACTATAAACGCAATGTATTTCATATATTTTTATTAAGCATGTCTATTTTAATTGATTTAGTATATGTCACATATATACTGATCTAGAAATCTCAAAATCTTGATTTGTATCAAATAAGCATTATAAAAATTTAATACAATGAATTACATGTAGTTATTATGAATTATTTACAATTACGAGGTTTGTTGTTATATTAATATCTTTATTAATAAAAATTAAAAAATATAAAAGAAAGTGTAACAACTAATTAATTTTAAATTTTACAAATATAATTTAGTTATATTCTATATCAAAAACTTAGAATTTGTAATAAATACATCTTTCACGTAATTTCATTAAATAATTTAACAAATTCCTTCTTTCAAGTGCATTTAGTATATAAAATTTACAATAAAAGCAAAAACATACATTATACAATACAATCATATCAAAAGTTTTGAAATTATGGACTTATCTGATAAATTCTTATGCATGTAAGAAAAATGGAAAAACAAGAAAAATTAAACAAAATAGTAAATGTATAAATAACACATAATTGTTCATTTTCCTTGCAATATAGTATATAAAATTTATAAATAAAAAATTTGTACAGGAAAATATATTAATTATTTATAATTAACTATATTAATAAACATATGAATTACAATTTGATGTAAAAATTCTTTAAAAAATGTAATGAAATGCTATTGAAAAAAACAACCATCTTTTCATTTTATAATAATTACTTAAAAAGTTTTGTAAAAATAATAATAATATAATAATAATAATTGCAATACATAAATCTAATACAAGCAAGAAAAGATTTTCTATATTTGGAAGCAATTGTATTAATTAATTTATGGTAAAATATTCCGAGTCTTATATTTTATGTATTATGATTAATGTTCTATAATGTTAAAAATAATACCTGAGGTTAGTAATTTTGCATATAAAATTTTGTTACTGCATTACTAAAGTTCAGCTATTGCATTTGGAAATATTTTTTGTTTCATATAACTATAAATTATTAATAAAAATTATTTCCATTTCTTTGCATATGTTCTTACAGTTTTTAGAGAAATAAAATCATATATACTGTTCTTACTGTCTTTGTTTATCAAAATGAATTAACATTAAAAATACTAAATATTATTTATCATTTTCTTCAGACGTCCGATGATATTTACATACAATAAATTGGTATGTCTAATCAGCTTTACGTGGCTTACGTTTACGAACATTTGGACTGCTTGGTTCAGTTTTTGAATCTTTATCTGCATCCTTTTCTTTTTCTTCTACTTCTGATCCCTCTTGTTCAGATTCCTCATCTACTAAATCATCCTTAACATGTTCAACAATTTCTTCATCCTGTATACTTTTTTCTTGCATAAATCCACCTGATCCATCCTTCTGCTTTTTTTTGTCTTGAAGCATCACAGGTTTTGGTGGATATATAAAATCGATCAAGCAAACAATAAACTACAAAGTATAAATAGCAATTAATTTTTATTTAAACAATTGAATTTTATATTATTTGTGTTAGTTTAAGCTTACCAATCCTAATATTCCACCTAAAACAATAGTAGCAATAGCAAATATCAAGTAACTTCCCCAAGTAGGTAATCCAAAATCTTCCATGAGCCTATTGTGTATTCCCTATAAGAATAATTAAATTGTTTTATAATGCATTTAAAATTTAAAAATTAAGCCTATCAACTTTCAATTAAAATCTTTACCCGTAATACTTGTGACATTTGAAAGAATTGACCAATCACAGACATTTGAATAGATGTTGGACTCTTCCAACCAGGAATTGGTTCAATCTTTTCCCAAGTTTTCTCAGACACAAATTCAATTAATGAGTCTTTATCTCTAGGACTCTTATATTGCCTAAATATACCATCTTTAACACTAAAGGAAACATCAAAAAGTATTTAAAATTTTAAATCATATTCTTTTTACAAAATAGAAAAGCTTACTGATATATTGTAGGCAAAGCTGTAACCATAAATCTTCCACTAAGTCCTGGAGAATCAGTCACATCAACTTTTCCTACATTGATATTTAAATTCTCCTTTTGTGCAGCAAGATGTTCCCAAATTGGTTCCAGTGCTTTACAAGCAGGACACCATGGGGCATAGCTAAATCGTAAAATATTTAAATTATAATGACATCTATTATTTTAAAATACAAATAATTCTTAACAAAATATTTCTTATAGTTTTTTTTTATATTTTCAAATTGCTTCCAATAAAATTTTTCTTTCATCTTTTACAATTGGATATATAAAATATAAATATAAATATAAATATAAATATAAATATTATTATTAAAATGCACAAATTTTTTAATATGATTTTTAATACGCCATCAAATTTAACGACACTGATTGTGAGCCAATTCAACTTACAATTCCACCATCCATTCTCCGATCAGCATACGATCCCAGTTTTCTTCCGTAAGTTGTTCCGCGAAAGTACTTTTTGATGATGTCTGAGCGCTTGCATTTACAAGATTCAAAAATAAACAACAATATGTGATATAAAATGAAAAATTGAATTTAGTGTTCGACATTTTATGCTAACTAATATCCACCGGTATCGTAGACACACGCTGCCGGTTACTGAAAGAAGCACAAATCCAATCCACTATAGTTGGCAATTGGCAACCGAGTTCCTTTCATGATATAGTAACACACTATACATATTGAAAGCCCTAGAAACAAATAATAATTATAATTCACTTTTAAAATTTATTTAGTACATATTAATATAATATAGTATAATATAATAGTTAATATAATAGGAAAAAACAGTTGTTTCTTTGATCCATTTAAATTTAGATTTAAAAATATATATGTTAAAAATTACTTTTTTTTTTTAAATAAAATACTACTTTTAACCATACAGATATACAATTAAATTTTACTTAATCAATTACACATTTTGAAATAAACTTTGTAATTTATAAAAAATCAAATTTGTCTTAATATAAAATATTCTAGTAACATTATTTAATTGTTGAATTATATTTCACATGTAATTTATGTATATTTGTATAAATTATAATATTCCATAAATTAATTATGTCTCCTCGTCATGAAGAATATTTCAAATTTTTTATCAATTATGAAAATTATATATTTTAAAGTTAATATTCGTATGAATAACCCTTTATATTTATCGTATTGTCATGCGACATCAATGTTAGCAAGCAAATTGTGTTTGTTCTTATTTGAAACAAAAATTCGAAACACTTCCAAAAATACGTAAATAAAAAATGAGTTTCAATTTTCGTAGTTTTTATTTATTATATAATTTTAATTTCTTATTATTAAATAACAATTATTACGTTATTACGTTAATATGAAGACATATTTGAATGTTTTTCATTTCTTTATATTTCTGCTTTGTTTTTTTATTAAGTTCATAAATACATGTAATAATAATATAATATACATAAGTGTATAATAATGATTTAATATTCAAAATAAGTTGTATATCATTAATATCTTTTTTCATTTTATTAATTGCTTAGAAATTAATTTAATTATTTAGAAAAAATAAGGTTTTACTATGCAGTTTATGAACAATTTTTTTAAGAATATAAAAATTTTCTAGGTAAACAATATGTCTGTTGTTTATCCAATTTTACCTAAATTGGCTGAGCAAGATGGTTTTGATGATGAAGATTTAACAGATATTGACGATGAGGTATTCATCAAAGATGGAAAGAATGGTCTAAAATTACATGATGATAGAGGAGTAAAAAGGCCTTTAATGGCACCTCGTAGAAAATATAAAAAATCATATAATTTTGAGACATATGGACTTTCAAATAAGGCTGGCTTTGGTCTTATGATATTAATAATATTAAGTTTAATTATATTGTGCATATATATTGTAAATATAATTCCTGGACCAATATCAGTTTTGAAAACTTGGTTATCAAATGATCTTAAAAACTCATTGCATGAATCTAATATAATACCATGCACATCTCTTATGCCAAAGATTTTATGGACTAGATCATTACCGAAGTTAACATCTGAATCACCAATAAGAAGCAATGATGTTAATGGTGATGGAATTGAAGATATTATTATTGGATTTAATACAGGTTTTCATTTATAAATATGTATATTTCAATTTAATTTTTAAAATTTTTCATATTTTTTGATAGTATTTTTAGTGCAGTTATTTTTTTATTTACAGGTCTTAGATTTATAATTTTATTTTGCTGACTATTTTAGTTTTTGAGGTATATAATTTTTGTAATATATTTATATTTATATTATTTATATTAAATTACATTTAAAAAATAATATTATTTTATATATAGGATTGGATATGATAAACATTCCAGAATATATTTGTGCATTGTACTTTGACGGACAAGTTCCATGTTTCGGTGGAATTCTGGCTTTAAATGGAAAAACAGGAGATACTCTTTGGGTTCATTGGACAGCTCATGCTGTTTTCTCAGTTGATTGTGGTATAGATTTAACAAATGATAAAATTAAAGATTGTATTATATGTGGTCGAGGTGGAATACTTCATGCAATTGATGGTTATAATGGTACTAGTATATGGGAAATACCAGTTCAAGATTTATCAATTTCTGAAGAATGGAAAATCTCAGATATCTATGATGCTAAATTTATTGCTGATATTGATGGAGATGATATTGGAGATATTATTGCATCACATACCATACAATCAAGAGAAATTCATTCAAGTGAAATTCTTATGATATCAGGAATTAATGGAAATATTATACATAGATCAGTTTTACCAAATACAGAACAACTTTTTTTAGCACCTCAGAAATTAGTTCATCCAGATGGAGAAAATATTTTTGTTCTTGTAACTAGTAGTCAGAAACAATCAGGTGGATTATATGTAATTCCTCAAGAGAATCTAATGTATAATGACTTGGTAAGTTTCTTAAATATTTGAAAATAATATATAAATAGTTTATTATATAATTATATATATGTTATAGAAATTACGTAAACTTCACCATAACACAGGAAAAGGAACTTTATTACCTCCAATTTTAGTCGATGTAACTTTAGATGGAATTGAAGATATTGTTGCTGCTATGTTTAATTCTACAATAATAGTTTATAATGGATTAACTTTTGAACCTATTTGGAATTATACAGTACCTAATTCTGAAATAATAAGTATACCTATTCCTGGTTACTATAATGATGATGACATTCCAGATTTTATGGTAAAACATCAAATAGGTTTGGGTTTTCCAACATATTACTATACAGTGACAACAATTATAAATGGAAAAACTGGTAAACCTTTGCTAGAAAAACCAATAGAAGATAGTTTAAGTAGAGAAATGTCTGGTCTATCTGTTACTGTTGAAGGTTTTGGAAATGATTGGTTTTTACATTGGTCAGTTGATTGTCTAAATTATGAGGGAATTAAAGAAAAATATCAGTTCTTAAAAAGTGAAGATTTTATATCCGAATCACGCGCTGATATTTGTAAACTACGATTTAACTCTAGTTTAATTACAAATTTACATGCTTTAAGCCAACATGTTGGACCACCTGGAATATCACTATATTTTTCTGAAGATTGGAAGTCATTAGAATACAATAATTCTATGAATGTTAGAATAGAACTATTTGAAAATACACCTTTCATGACTGAGCACTCATCAAAGAATCATAAGGATAAAAATAAAAAAAACAGTTTTAAACAAGAATTGAAAGATTCATATGAAACTTATGAACAATACAACAATGAACATAAAAATAATGTTTTGAAAAATGGAAATAAATGGCCCCAAAAAAATATACAAACAAGCAAATACTTTGATATCTTATATGATGAAAATAATAAAATTAATATACAAGAACAACCAATAGATTACCAACAAGAGAATGAAGTACGAGAACAAAGAAGTAACTTTAATCTTGAATTTACTAATCAATTTGATAACAGAATAAATAATTCTGTAAAAAACACATATAATAATGAAACAAATATTACTAATAACAAGATAAATACATTTGAAACTTTTGATGATTATATAGCAAACTCGGACACTAAAAATAATGTAAGTAATGTAGAAGTGATGGAAAATACTGAGTAAAGGAACAATTAGTTCGTTGTATCATAACATGAGTAAAGCGAAAGAATCTGATTAAATTTTTGTAGTAACATTATTAATTTATAATAAAGTTATTAAAAAATACATTTTACAAAAAAATATATAAAGAAATTTTTTTTAGGATGTAGAAACTTTCACTAAAAAGCTTTCTAATAATGCATCAAATCAAGGAAGAAATGTTATAGTAAAAAAAATTCTGAAACAAAAATTCTTAAAAAATCAAAATGAAAAAGGAGATACTGACATAAAACTAAAATTAAAATTAAAAGATAAATTTGAAACAAAATTAAAAAAGCAAAAAAAGAAGCGAGAAATAAAACCTAAAAGTAATCAAATATATTCAGTACATGGTATACAAAGGCAACCACCAACTGGAATATTATTACCATCTATTTTAGAAACGAAAGGAATAACTTCTATTGATTTAGTATTTTCTACATTTTGGTTACCATCCTCTAAGGCATCTGTGATATTAGTTCAAGAAGATTTAAATTGTATTCATTGGAAAATGTTGCTTTCTGAAAAAAAGTTCCAGTATAAAGACAGTGATGATATTATTAAAGAATGTTTAGATGAACGAGGTATTAATTATAAAATACATCAGGAAACGAGTAACGGAGATGATTTAAAAATTTCCCTTGGACAAATGACAATATATAGAATGAAATTAGAATGTATGTGTCCTGAAGATATGTTGCCTAATCAAAGTTGTAGAAATATATCTATGCATCAGAGTTGGCCTGAATATTTAGGTTCAGGTGGAAATGGATATTTTAAACCATTTTATAAAACAAATTTTTGAATAAGATAATTATGTTCGTATATATTTTTCATAAATAATATTTATTTTCTAATACGTAAAAAATATATATTTCTTTTTAAATAAATATATAAAATTTATTAGAAATAAACAATAACAATAACATCATAATAAAATTCAATATACGGACTACAAATATGTTATTATTATTTTAATATGTACTTGTTGTACAATAAAAATGATAACTATAAAATTTTAGTACGCAATATTTGGTACTAATATTTTAAAAATACATATTTTTTAGTTTAACAAATACATTACATAATGAAATGTATATATGCATGTTTTCAAATTATGTGTGTAAATTATAAGATTGTCATTTGTTGTAATACTAATTTGTGTACCATATGTTCTTTTTCCAAAGTATTTATAATGTTTAATATAACGATATTGAAAATAATTTATTGTTGTTATATGTGAAATACATGTATTATAATTTCATTAAAAGACATTATTCATTGCTGATACAATAATAGAATAAAACTCTACTATATCATTTGAAAAAAAGTTTGAAGTCAGATGTTTGATCAATATTCATTTGATATACATGTGTGGTTTTACCTAACTGCTATTATATTTTTTATGCAGATTATTTAAATAATTAAAATTAAAATAGTAAAATAATTTATTCTAAACTGTAGAGTTTATATTTATTTAATTTTAAATATGTCTGAGAGGCAAATATTAAATCGTAAGTTATATAGTTTATATATATATATATATTATTACTTATATGCCTGTGATCTTTCCATGTATTTATATGTATAGAATCTTCATATACTGCATGTGGTATTATACCAAAATTTCAAATATCTGATATACAAAAAGTTTGTATAAATGTAAGTTGTTTTATAATGTTTTTATTTTTTCTACTAAACAATTGTACTATAAATTTTTATATTTGCAGAATATATATAAAAATGTTGTGCCTACATATAAAAGTAAAATAAAATACTTAAAACATAGCTTGAAGAAACAATGTAACAGTGAAAAGAAAAATTGGATTGCAGAATTTAAGCAAGTTAATACATCAAATAGTGATTTAGGATAATATTTTTAATTTAATTTTAATGATTTTTAATTACAGGTAAAACTAATTTTAAAGTTTATATTAACTAAAAACCAATATTTTTATGCACTCTGTTATTGAAAAGTAATTGTGAGTACATATAATTGCTTTTATGTTTGATACTTGTAGGATAATGGCTGGGCATTATAAATCAAGCAAAATTGAATACTGCAACAGTTTTAAATGTCATCGACCAATTATACCATTTTTAGTATCAGGAACACAAAATATAAATATTCCTGTACGATATAATAATGCTATTTTGAATGATATAGTAACAAATGCACAAAAACAATGTTATACATTCTCACCTAAGTTGAAGCCATTTAGAAATATAGGAACTCAAACAGATTATCGAGACAGTGAATCACAAACTGCTCCTTGGGAACCACCATATAAAATTAAATCAGGTATAATTTAATAGATATATTTTACATTTTTATTTGTTAATGTACCATCATCTTCCCAGGTCATCATCCTGAAGTTTTATCAATAGCACATTTAACTTGGAATCATGGATTACAAATCGGAAATCACGATTTAGAAATCATTAATAGAATGAGAAAAAAGAAAGCATGGGAAGCAGTTCTTCCTCCTATGGATACATCAACAAATATAAAAAAGCGTACAGCTATAATAAATGCATTAGAAATAGATGAATGGACATATAGAGAATCAGTAAGTATTTTTTCATTATTAAAACATAGATTGTATTTATTTTTAAGAATAAAATGCTTAATAAATAAATTTTTAATTTTAGGAAATTCAAGCGATAATAGATTATAGACTTGAATTAATGAGTGAAATATCTAAATCACTAGAATATGAAAAAGAAAAAAAAATTCAAGATCGTTTAGATAGATTGACAAATCTTTTATTTGTACGCAAAAATAAAGAAATAAATTCTATTAAACATAAGCTTAGAAGAGAATTGAGAAAACTATATAAAAGACAACAACAAAAATCAGAACCGTTTAAACGTGATATTATTAAAGAACATACTAATCCTTCTTCTGAATTATATGCCCCACAAATGCGTTATGGTGAACATCCTAAAAGAAGACATGAAGTAATAGAAAAAGAGTTGTTAGGAGAAACCTCTATCGAAAGTAAACATAAATATATTAGTATTAAATATTACACTCTATATTATATATTACTATTACACTATATATTATATTCTTTTTTTGTATTTTTGAACTACACAGATGTAACTGAAATAAATACATTGCCAAGTTGGCTTCCAACGTATGAAGAATTAAGTGCAATAGAACCAAGACCTAAATCAGCTAATCTGTGTATTAGAGCAACAAGATGGACAAAAGAAAAGCTAGGTCAATTACACAGTAATCTGAAGGCAAATAGATTAAACACTAAGACAATAGAAACACCATTATTATTGAAGCGCAAGTATAAATTACCATCTCTACCTCCAACACCATATAAAACCAGCACAGAAAATATAATAAATGCACGACTACATCAATTATCTATGTTTATTCAAAAAATAATTAGAGGAAGAGCTATTCAATGCATGGTAATAATTAGAAACTAAATTATATTAAATGAGATTAAATAAAATATTTTTGTTAACTTAAATTTATATCTAAATGATTCTTTTTTAGATGTTTGAAGGTCGCAATAGATGTAGAGAATTAATTGAAGAATTACAATCATCTCATGGATTAGAAGAACATAGCAAAAAACAACATCAAAAAGAAAAAGCGCATACATTAGAATTACAACATTTACAAAGTGAAAAATCTATGCAAGAAGATCATTTATATGAAATTCTCAATTCTTTAGAAGGAATGACTATATCAGGAATGCTAGATTTTCTTAGCAAAGTATAATTCATTCTGAGTTATAATTATTAAAAATAATTTAGAACTTTTATAATATAGAAATTTTATAATATTTCTCAATCTTGTTTTTAAGGAATTAATAAGATTAGAAGGTGAACGCCGAATACATGCTTTTGCATTATTAGCTGAAAGAGAAAGAGCTATGAGAGAAGCTGCAGAAGCTGGAAAACGTCAACTAGAATATAATCGTCGTAGGGAATTTGACGAAATGTTTAGGCAAATTATAAAAATTAATCAAGAATCTGTGGAAAGCTATTTAGAAGATATAATAAAAGAAGGCATTGAACGGATATCTGATGAAACAACTAAAGCATATATTTCAGAATTATGCGATAAAGTAGATGATATATCAAAAGCTGCACAAAAAAAGTATGACCAATAAAATACATTTTACATAATTTTTTTGAGTAATACATTTCCCAATTCTTTATATTTTAGTGCAACAAAATTAGCAGAAGAGGAAATGGTTGCTAATATGATTTATAATTTTGTATTACCAGAAGTGGAAAGAACTACTGTACGAAAAAATATAAGAAAAAAACAACAAGCCTACTTACAAAATGCACATGCTGTAATTTATAAAGAAATATTGAACTTACCAGTCATTGAAAATAAAAATGTATTGATTACAGGATGTGGAAAAAAACAAAAAGATTGAAATATAAAATTAAATATTTTAATAAATATTGTTATATCTTAGAAAATATTTTACTTGCTTTTTTATCGTTGGGTTAAATATATTTCAGCATATGCACGCGCACTCACAATTCTTACATTCTTTAAAGCAAAGGTACAATACAACGTAGTTTTTGTATCATCCTAGATAATATATAAAAATGAACACATATTAAAAATCAGATTATAAATATTTTAAGATTTATAATTGAAACACATAAATATATATAATTATGTGCATTGATATTGTTTTTTACTAGTTTATTGTTATTGTCACTTACTAGTTTTTTAATAGTTTATTGTCACTCATTTTACATAAAATCTTACATAATGCTTTTATCCAGTATTAAATAAAATTTTTTCTACAAATAAACAAATTATTATAATATTATAATAATATAAATAAAAATATATTAAATATTAATTTCTGAGATCTAATATTTTAGTTAATAATATCTACATTTTAATAATATACTTAAAATAATGTATTATTCTGTATACAATTATATGTTTTAGTATATTTATTAATTATATTTTAAATTTTTACAATAATTTAATATAATTTAATATCAATTCATTACATTTATCAATATATTTTTAAATTAATAACATACATACTAAAATAAGAAGAAATAATATATTTTATTTTTGATGTGTTTCTATATACAGTATTCCTTGCAATGTTATACCATCAACTTTTGAATCATTTGTATAGAGCAAACGTGATTTGCAATCAGACTATTTTAACAAGCATGAATCATCAAAATAAAAAAAATAATAATCATGGCTATCTTTGAACGAATTTATGTAACATAATACAACTTTCATTTTATTTCATTCAATTTTATGATTAATGATTAATCATTGTTTCTGATACATATAAATGCATATAAATGTATTGTTTAAAAAAAAAATGAATCAAAGAAAAATAACAGCCCGAAATTTTCAGAATATATATCAGTAATAGATATAACACGTTTCCAAAAATGTCCATTGAACAGACGATTGTATAACTTAGATTTATTTAAAATAAAAAAATTTGGTGATTTATTTAATAAACACAGTATTAAATTAAAATAACATTTTATTTTTTTGTATGCTATCTTTTTATTAAATAGTTTGCTACTATACTTTCAAATAATTTCAAACTATATGTAGTAAAAGCAGTTATATATATTTGACTTAAATATGTAAAAAGCTTAAACATTTAAATTTATTTAGTTATAACATAGAAAATGCAAAATACACATAGAACAATAATTTTGTTTTTGATATACAACTTCATTATGTACAAATAATAAGTTAATGTGAAGTTGATGGATATGTTTCTATAGCATTACCTGCAAGAAGATCAGTCATAAATTTTTTAAATTTGACATCTTTTGCATCATTAGATGATATTCTTTCTACTATGAGTTTACGTTTTTTTGCTTGTAATTCTTTTGTTTGTAATGAATCAGTGTCTCGTTGATTAATCATATCTATATGCTTTCTTTTACAAGTTTCTATAGAATCAGGTTTTTGTGTTTCTTCTCTCGCACGACTTAACTCAGCAGTTAAATCAACCATTTTTTGTTCCCACTCTTCAAGATGTTTTCTCATTTCAGCTAATTGTGTATCTTGATCATGTATTTTCTTTGCCTGCTCTTGTAATTTTAAACTTTGTAATCTCATTTGGAAACCTTGCCGTTTCATTCTAAGTTTCATTTTACCAATTTGACCCTTTATAGATAGAACAGATAGTTTATTTTTTTTAGTACGACTATAAATTTTTTTAAAAGTCTGATTCAATTTTTCTGAACTAAAATTATGTGGCAGTGTTGTGTTTGAACTTGTAGTATGATGAGAAATCATTAAACTTCCACTTGGCAATTCATAAGAACCTACATTACTAACAACTGAAGTACAAATACTATGTTTTAAATCTGGTAAAATTTTTTCATCAAAATGTTCCATAGCCATGCTACTGATATCTCTTAACTCTTGAAGTATTTCATGAGCTCTAGGTGGAGTTTTAGAATCTCGGATTAAACGAAGAACTCGAAAAATTTCATCAATTACCTGCATATAAAAAAATATAATTAATTTAATATATATAATAGTTAATAGAACTACTAATATTTTACCTTCCCAGGAATGAAACAACACAAGTTAAGATCCACGTATTTTATAAAAGTCATAGATAACATAGATATTCTTGTTTCAATTGCTGTTAATATATCACAATGACGTGCCAAAGGATGACTCCTTCTTTCTGATTCTCTTCGTGGTAATTGACTTTTTACTGCACGTAAACATTGTGCATGATATTTTTCCATCAAATTGAAACCTCGATTTAATAATTTTTTACACGTTCGATCAAATTGTTTACAAACCTATTAAAACACAATGAAACAAAAAAAACAAACTTAGTACATGTACAAAATCTTAGTACAAACTTAAAACAAGTGATTAATAATATATAAGAAAAATAAAAATAATCTTACAATTCTATATCGAGAAATTTCATCATATGTAAGGTTAGACAAAATTGTCTCTAAAACAATATCAGGGAGATTTATTAGTTGCAACATATCACTGTTTCGCTTTATAATTCAATTCTTAACACTTTCACTTGAGTGAAATTTTAAATATAATATGAAATTATATCTTTTCTCAAATTAGTGTAATAGTAGTAAAAATGGTGCACTTTTAACTATGGTGCATACAATTACGATTACAATGTTTTGACCGACCGATGACCTATAAACAAATATAGCTATTGCACATGTATCTGTTTATGATGTAGTTTACTATCTACATTCTTGCAATGTAGTAAATTTGTTAGTTTCCTCTCTAAATTTATATAGTTAATGGCCGGATATAACGCACATCAGTTTTGGCTGCCATATTGTTGTGTCACGTGACGAGGGAGTAGTGAGGTGAATGCGCCGGGTCGAATTCGTGACGGAGAGTTAAAAATTTGGACATCATCGTCTACTAGGAAACCAATTACAAGATGGATGTACGAAAAGTGACAGAATTATTACGAGCCACGATCGACCCAGAACAACAAAAGCAAGCTGAAGAGCAGCTAAATCAGGTCGGTCAACTGATTGAAAACGTGCTTAAATAACCGATACTCGAACAGAAACATGTGCTTCATTCTTATCATTTTCCTTCATTATTATTCGTTTTTTACACTTTCTTCATTATCATTCACCTATGTACATATGCGTATATATAATTAATACTTTTAAAAAAGATTTATAAAAATAATTTCTTTTTATCTTTGTTAGAGTTAACGTTTTGAATTCTTTTACTAATTCCAATTTTCTAAAGAATGGTTTTTAACCAAACTTGTAATTATATTAATTCAAAGTTCTTTTTTATATGTTCTTCTTTTAAATAATATAAATAAAAAGATAAATTTCTTAATATTTTGAAACTTTTTTATTGTCCATCCGTTTTGAAATATTTATTGTAATAAAAAATGTTTTTTTCACTTACTACAGTTTTTTAATTTTACATTAATACTATTAAATATATATATCATAATGTTAATATACTTTGTTAAATATTAATAAAAATGAATTGATTTGTATTCCAAATTATAAAAAATTACATCATGATAAGAGCAAAGGAATTTAAACAAAACAAGAAGATTTATGATTTAAAGCATTCCATGACATTTTCAGATTCACAAAATTATTGGTTTTGCACCAACATTACTTCAAGTACTAATGACTGCTGAAGAAATGTCCGTACGACAAGCTGGTAACTAACAAGTTAATTATTTTAAAACAAAGAAAGATTTAATTAATTAATATGAATTTAATAACAATTCAGGTGTTATATATTTGAAGAATTTAATTACAACAAATTGGGCTGATAGAGAAAATGAAAACGGCTCTGTTAAATTTACTATTCATGAACAAGATCGTGCAATGATTCGTGATGCAATTGTTGATGCCCTTGTACATGCACCAGAACTTATTAGGTAAGTTCTTCTTTTTCAATCACATTTTTCAGTTACTTAATATGTACAATATTATATCTTTATAAATGATCTTAATTAATTTTTTTTGTTAATTTAGAGTACAATTAGCTGTTTGCGTTAATAATATAGTAAAACATGATTTCCCTGGAAGATGGACGCAAATTGTGGACAAAATTACAATATATTTACAAAATTCAGATGCTTCTTGCTGGCCAGGTGTTCTCCTTGCACTCCATCAACTTGTCAAAAATTTTGAGTATGTCTTATTGAAAATTTCTATTTGAAAAAAAGAATTATTATCAAAAGATGACATATCATACATTTCAAATAGTTTTATTGCAAAAACATGTACTGGTACCTTTTAGGTATAAAAAGGCAGAAGAAAGAGGACCTTTGAATGAAGCAATGAATCTTTTGTTTCCTATGATTTATCAATTGATATTACGGCTTTTACCAGATCCTTCAGATCAGTCAGTATTGCTACAAAAGCAGATATTAAAAATATTTTTTGCTCTTACGCAGGTATAGATATTGTCCATATAGATTTTAATATTTTATGTAAATAGACATAATATTTCATGTAAAAATATATAATCGCTTTTTAAATTTCTATTTCAGTATACACTCCCTTTAGATTTGATTTCAAAGGAAGTTTTTTCACAATGGATGGATGTAGTGCGACAAATAGCTGATAGACCTGTACCACCTGAAACTAACAATCCAGACTTGGATGATGATGAACGATCAGAATTGCCATGGTGGAAATGTAAGAAATGGGCTCTTCATATTTTACGCAGAATGTTTGAAAGATATGGAAGTCCTGGAAATGTAACTCAAGAGTATAAAGAATTTGCTGGATGGTACTTAAGAACTTTCAGTGCAGGGATACTTGAAGTCCTTTTGAAAATTTTGGACCAATATAGAAGAAAAATATATGTATCACCTAGAGTGATTCAACAATCAATTAATTATATTAATCAGGGGTAAGCAATAAATTCAAGGAATAATTCTATGAAGATGCAATTTGAAAATTTTCTGTTTTAATATGTAGAGTAAGCCATGCATATTCATGGAAGTTCTTGAAACCACATATGTTTGAGATAATTCGCGATGTACTCTTTCCAATTCTCTCATATTCCGCTGCAGACGAAGAACTTTGGAACAATAATCCATATGAATATATTAGGGTGAAATTTGGTGAGATTTAAAAATAAAGTATATTCTTTCTGTGTATATTTTATTTTTTGTTATTTTATTTTACTGAATCATATAATTTATTATTTTTTAGATATATTCGAAGATTTTGTGTCTCCAGTAACTGCAGCACAAACCTTATTATATTCTGCGTGCAAAAAACGTAAGGATATGCTTCAAGAGACTATGCAATTTTGTATGGAAGTACTAACCAGTCCAAATGCAGATCCTAGACAAAAGGATGGTGCATTACATATGGTAATTATTTTATGTAGAAAAATATTTTATAAAGTAAAAAATTATAAAGTAAAAAAATATAAAATATTCTAAAAATCAATCTTCTAGGTTGGTAGTTTAGCAGATGTATTATTAAAGAAGAAAGTTTATAAAGAACAAATGGATAAGATGTTGCTACAATACGTTTTTCCAGAATTTAATAGTCCTCATGGGCATATGCGAGCAAGAGTAAGTGATGCATATATTTTTATTAAAATTTTACTGATTATTTAATTTGTAATATTTTTACATTTCAGGCATGTTGGGTATTGCATTATTTCTCCGAAATAAAATTTAAACAAGAACAAATATTAGTTGAGGCCGTTCGATTGACGACGAATGCTCTTCTGACGGACCAAGATCTACCTGTTAAGGTAGAGGCTGCTATTGCTTTGCAGATGCTTCTTTCTGCTCAAGAGAAGGCACAAAAATATGTAGAACCTCTAATTAAGCCTATAACTCTTGAATTATTAGCTATTATACGAGAAACAGAAAATGATGATTTAACAACTGTTATTCAAAAAATTGTTTATACATATTCAGAACAACTTATGCCAATTGCAGTTGAGATGTGTCAACATCTTGTAAGTATTATTTTTTTCATTTTATAAGGTAAATTACAATTTACTAAAGTCTTAATATTTTTTAGGCTGCAACTTTCAGTCAAGTGCTGGAAACAGATGAAGGCAGTGACGAAAAAGCTATTACTGCCATGGGATTGTTAAATACAATAGAGACTTTATTAAGTGTAATGGATAATCAACCACAAATCATGGCACTATTACAACCAATAGTGCTTCAAGTTGTTGCCCATATTTTTGGAGAAAGTGTTATGGGTACATTAAATAACAATAATGAAAGCAATGATATTAAATATCTTGTATATGTTGTTAAAAATCATTAATAATTCCTTTTGTATTTTAGAATTCTATGAAGAAGCTCTTTCATTAGTTTATGACCTCACTGGGAAAACAATCTCGGGAGATATGTGGAAAGTCTTAGAATTAATGTATCAGTTATTCCAGAAAGATGGTTTCGAATACTTTACTGATATGATGCCTGCCCTTCATAATTATATTACAGTTGACACTCCAGCATTTTTATCCAATGAAAATCATATATTAGCTATGTTTAATATGTGCAAAGCTGTACGTTGATCGAATTTTTATAAAAATGAAGAAAACATTTTATAAAAATTTATTTTTTTATTTGTATACATTAGGTATTAACAGGAGATGCTGGAGAAGATCCAGAATGTCATGCTGCCAAATTATTGGAAGTTATAATCTTGCAGTGTAAAGGTCACATTGATCAAGTAAGTTATATTTTAAACATATATTTTAATCTAAATTTATAAATTTATTTATAATGTTTTATATAAAATCTTATCCTTTTAGTGTATACCTTCATTCGTACAATTGGTATTAGAACGTTTGATGCGTGAAGTTAAAACATCTGAATTGAGAACAATGTGTTTGCAAGTAGTAATTGCAGCTCTTTATTATAATCCAGCCCTGTGTCTCGAAACAATGGATAGATTACAAGGAAATTTTAGACAGTCAACGGAACCAATTGCTTCACACTTCATTAAACAGTGGATTCACGATACAGATTGTTTCTTAGGGTGAATTGTTTTAACTCTTTGATAATAATTATATTTTTGTTTTATAATTAAATAGAATTAATTGATAGTCATAATTAGACTTCGATAAACATGGTATTTATATTATTTAGATTACATGATAGAAAGCTCTGTGTTCTTGGATTATGTACTTTAATTAGTATGGGTCCAGCAAGACCACCAGCGGTAAATGAATGCGTTCAACAAATCATCCCATCTTTGATTTTACTTTTTGATGGATTGAAAAGAGCCTATGCAGCTAAGGCATCTGATACCGATGACGAAGAGAATGAAGAGGATGATAGTGATATAGACGAAGGTATTAATTTCTATTTATCCTTCTATACCTCTTTTTATTCGTTTTTATTTTATTTTTAAAAAATTAATGGTAATATACAGTGTATTTAGTTTAACTGAAAACAGTATCTCACGAAGGAATAGTGTTATTAAAAAGATTAAAAGTTTAAACAAAAGTTTAACGAGAAACAGTACGTGATGCAAATCATTATTTTTTTTTTGTATATCGAATAGTAAAGATTTCAAAGTCGATTTCAATTTTTTAAATAGAATCATATATTTTTCTATAGGTTGGTCGATGTAGTTCTGTATTTTGTATAAAAAAAATATTAACCTACGTATGTCGAAAAATTGTTAGTTTAGAAGCTATTTTAACTTTAATTTTGTAAAATTATATGAAAGACGAGGAAGCATAACGACAGTATTCTTATCGAATCAAATTTTTGTTTAAATATTTTTTTAATAATGCCTCTCCTTTGTGACATCTTTCATCGTTTTCAGTTGAACGGAACACATTATATTATATATTACATTATATTAATATATTAATATATTTATACAGAGGTTTTATCATCTGATGAAGACGAAATAGACGATGCTAGTCAAGAATATTTGGAAAAGCTACAAGAAAAAGTAACAAGATCATCTACACAACATGGTTTTAGTGTATCAGCCTCAATTCAAGATGGACATGGTGATCACAGATCAGATGATGACGGTGATGACTCAGAATACGATGCTAACGAGGAAACTCCGCTTGAATGCTATATTACACCTTTGGATTCGGACAATATGAATCAAGACGAATATGTTGTTTTCAAAGAAGTAATGCAAAGTACGTAATCATTATATTTTTATATTTCATATATATCTATATTTTAGATTCTTATTTGTTATTTATAATATATGAATTAATTTTTTTCTTTTTTATTTTCAGATATTGAAAGAACAGATACAGTTTGGTACAGAGCATTAACTGGTCATTTAACTACAGAACAACAAAAAGCATTGCAGGAGATTATTCTTTTAGCAGATCAGCGTAAAGCAGCCCTTGAAAGTAAAAGAATTGAACAGAGCGGTGGTAAGTTTCTAAAATATTTCAAAATATTTTAATATTTTTATAGTTTGCTTTGAGGAATGCATTAAAATAATACATATACAATGTTTCTGTTTTAGGTTATGCTTTCCATTCACAGACTGTACCTACATCGTTCAATTTTGGTGGAACGCTTTTGAGCCGATAGACTCCTGATCGTTTATATTCTTAGCTTAAGTAAGTAAATAAATTGCGAAGCATCCAAGTCGAATATCCTTAACAATGCAATACATGTTCCCAATCCGTTTAAACCGAGTTACACAGGAGTTGAATGAACATGAAAAAAGCACTCATTTTTGTTTGTATCTCCACATTTCTAACTTTTCATGACTATAGCTCGATACATACAACAATGGTAGCATCCTTTCGAGCGTTTGGAAATCCATTCCACGATGGAATCTGCGGAGAAGCACGCTTCTTCTCATAACATAATAATAAAACGTAATTAATTCTCATAGTAGACAAATGCATCTAAGATAAATAAAGATAGTAATTCATATTTTTTTTATATAAAAGATATTTTTGATCATTATTATTTCGATTTCCAGATTCCAGGGAATATGTTCTGATCTCGATTTCCAAATCATCGTGCTTCTTCGCCGAGCTCACACCAATCCATCGTTTAGCGCGATCGAATTTTTTCTTTTTTTTTTTTTTTTTTTTTTTTTGTACAAGAAAAGATATGTATGAAAATGAAATGGAAGAGTGAAAGAGGAAAAAGAGCGCGTGTATGTATGTGTGTTTGAAAGAGGAAAGGAGACGAAATAGTAGTTCGATCGCTCTTGAAGCGCTCGAAAAAGTGCCTTCAACACGCTCGACGCGGATGGGACCTAACTTAAAACAGAGCAAAATGGATCGAGGCTAGGACGCTTCTCTAGTTTGTAAGTTTCCTAAACACTGTACTAAAATATAATAAATTAATGCTAATTAAAAATGAAGAATTCAAACTTTCCAGTTTTAATTTCGTTAACATGAATTGTAATAACATTTTCAAAAGGAGATTAAATTCATGTAGAACTATATCATTTTTTGTACATTATGCTTTCAAGTAAAATCATATATAAAGTTTATAACTTTATAAGTTTCTAATTTAAAGACATTAATTACAATCAGTCATGTTTTATAAAATTGTATAATGCATCGATTATTTTTTATTCATTTGTTTAAAGGAATAGAATAAAATTTAATAACAGTTTTACATAGTAACATTGGTTATTATATCTGACTAGAAAAATGGAAATTAAATCATTAGGATAGAATTATTAATAATTAAAATATAAAATTTTTTCATTAACAGCCTTATATTCCACTTTCGATCGATACATAAGTTAAGTGATTTCAAATGAAGAGCTTTGCAGGATATATATATATATTCGATATATATATGTATATACATATATATCAGATATATATATATATATCCGATTATGGAAAATAATTTATATCCTGCGAAATAATTTTCAGCGCAGAGAGATATATTTATAAAAGGAGCTGCGATGATTGAAATTGTAGATACATTTGCTGTTATGTGTGTACACATATATACATTTTTTTAATAAGATTTTAGCAATTCTAATTATAAAGATAATGTTTAATTGAAATTTAAAGTTTATAATTAAAAGTAATTCCTTACACAAGTTGCAACAATTTTAATTATACCCTCGTTTTTGTATTTAATCTTGTAATAAGTATATCTAGGTAAAGCAGTAACAATTTATATGTACTTCCAAAAACAACTTTTAACAATCTTTATTTAACAATGTTTTGTTTTAATTATATATTACCAGATATCAATTAATTATATATTACCAAAAGATTGCAAATGTAAATACAATTTCAATTTTTTATTACATCTGAAAGAAAAAAATAAAGAAAGGAGAAAGAGTATCCCACAACTCTTAGAAAACAGCACATCGGTGGCCTTTTTTTTAACCGATGGTTTATTGACCAAAGGTACGAAGCACTCATGAAGACGCAGAGAGGTCCGATAAAACGAATGAGATGGACGAGAGGAACATGTTTAGAGCATGAAAGAGTTCTACTCTCGATCTCTCTCCGCAATGTGTCCTCGAATAAAGTGAACGTTAATGTCACTTGAGACATCGTTCGAAATAAAACGCGCCAACATAGCCACCTCTCATTGCTTTTGCTACATTCTGCTCAAATGCTCTCCTATTATTTTGCAGAACCTCTGCAGCATCTTTATTCAATGGATCTTCTGGATTTGGTTCCTAAAAACAAATAATATAAATTTTCGTAAAAATTTCTTTGTTTAATTATATAAGCTTTCTACTAAAGTTTTTTACTTTGTTATGAAAAATATAATAATTTTTTGTTATACTAAGTACCAAAAAAAGATATTGTAATCCATAAACTATAGAATTAATTGTAAGGACTGGTTTCCAATCTTCTCTTAAAATATTCAGACACACATTGCCATCTAAGTCAATATTAGGATGATAAACTTGTGTTTCGCATTTCACTTTAGGCGGCTCATGAGGATAATTTGGTCCAACTTTAAAGCTGAAGACAAATCGACCACCTCTATAAAATCCCTAAAAAATTAAAAAATCATTACCAAACTGTGAAGAAGAAAAAAGAATGTTCTTACCTCGTCTGGACAAATAATTAGTTTAAAGCTAAGAAGATCATCTGGATCAGGAAACTCTGTCCCACATGTTTTTGGAAGATTAAGTTCATTTATGTCTATATAAAATAAAAATTTCTTAAAATATATATCAAAGAATGAAAGAGAAAAAATATATTTTAAATCAAACTATTCAAGGTTACTTAAAGGTCAAAACAACGAATAAAATGCTTTTAATGAAGAAAAATTTAAGATTAAATATTAATATTAACTACAAAAAAGATAAAAAGCAAATTATTTCTTACTTGAATCTTTTTTATGAGAAATCACACTAATAATTACTACTCTATTGAATATAAACAAATATGTTTATTATTTATTAAACTAACTTTTATTTCTACTAATTTATTTTTTAGCTTGTTCTTATTCTAAATCTATGATATTTGTCAAAATGTAGATATTTTATAAAAAAATGTATAAAGTTTTTGTCTATGAATCAATATATACTTTCAAAAGAATGTGAAAATAAATCAATTTATAAATACTGTATATAATTATACGGGATCAATGAGAGTAAAAAAAAAACTAAATATAAAATATGCGAATAACATGGTACCATTAAAAAATGAACAGATATTGACTGTTAGGAAATTCAAAACCAATTGTAACGTGAAATCTTAATAAAGTCTTTGATCAACTTTTAATGGAATTGTTTCAATTTTTATACATTAAATAAGATGAACAAAACGGAAATTGCAAGGGAAACGATTAGCCGTCAATAAACCTTTTGTGATTCTCAGTTGTGCTGCAGATGCCTTCTTTTGGGTGCCAGCTTTTGGCGACTCGCCATCCTTTTTCGCCTGTTTTAATGAGAATAATTTAATCATGATAAAGTGGCGGTGCCCGGCGTGGAAGGCACAAAAGTCTTCTTCCTCGATCGGCCACGCGCGCAGCTACGATGCACGCAACAAAACTTTTTGACAATGGAAACAACTACTGTAAATTTACGACTGGTTTCACGTGGACGGAACAGATCTCGTTTCTGTTACAATCACGGTATTAAAGTACCATTTTTCACATACTACACTAAAGCCTGTCTTTCATTTATGCATACATACACATAACATACTTTTGAAATGAAAATTGAATAATCAATTCTTCTTGATTAAACCAAATTTTTTTTTTTAATATTATTTGTTATTTATCTATAATAGTATAGAATACTAACTTTACTCACTTTGAATTAATGCATACATCACTGTCTTCTAAGTCGCAGAATTTTACATTTAAAATAATTGTTATTATTCTCTTATTATTTTATATAAATGGTTATAATAAATAAAACAAAAGATATAGAATCTGAATTATTTATATTATTTCATTGTAAATATAAAAAAAATTACATATAATTCTTATTGTTTAAACATGATTGGAGATTGCTTGTAACGATTCGAGATTCTACCAATCATAATCTTCTACATATATTAGAAACCTTTATTCGAGCAATGAAAATATCTTTCTTGGTGTCGTTGAATATACGAACAATTATTTGCTGCTACAAGAGAAAATATATAAACACTATATAGATGGTTCAATGTTCATTTCGAGTTAGAGTGAGGTTCAAGACGTCAATGGCTTACATTAGTTGTGCATGTTGCTTGTAACGATTAAAAAGTGACGAAACAGAGTTTCTCGATACGTGTATATATTTTTCAAATTTGACAGTAAACGACAACACAATGGCTGGAACCCGAGATGAAATTTTAGCTAATTTTCAGGTGATTTATTGGTTGATTAATTGTTCGTTAATATCATATACAAAATAGAATTTTAGGTTATGATGTGCATTAATGACATTGACAGTAGTAAAAAAAAGATGTATGAATATAAAATAATATTTTCGTTTGTTTTTTTTCGAGCTATCAAAATTTTAACGATATTTTAAAATATATAAAAAGAAAATTATATATAGGGTGGTTTGAAAATAAAAAATGCAATCAGAAAGAAAGCGATTCTATAAAAAAAAAATTAAATTTGGTATAAAGATTTTTTGTTTCCAAGAAACTCAATCTCAAAAATTGAATTTTGTATATTATTAATATTAAAATAATATACTATGATGTTCGATATTGTATATTTTTAAACGTTTCTTTATACTTCTTTTGTCTTCCGTACTGTATTTACGAATCATGAAAACGAATAACAAAGACTAAAAAATTACAAATGGATAAACGGATTATAAATAAAAAAGAATTGTTCTACTAATTTGAAACATATTGTTTAAAACTAATTTTAAATTAATATTTATATTTATTATTTACAAAATATAAATAAATATAAACTATTCTTTTAGGCATGCACAGGAATTGATGATGTTGGTGATGCTATTAAATATTTAGAAGAATCAAATTGGGATTTATTGGTAAACTTTTTATCTAAATTTATTTATATATTATATGTAGAAATCCATTAAAGTTTAAATGATATATTATATAGGCAGCAGTAAATCAAGCTATGCTTCGTAGTACACAACAATTATCTTCTGAAGTAAGTCCAGACATAGAAATGATAGAAGAAATTGAAAGAATGCCTCAAGCTCATTCATTACAATCTCAAACTAATTGTGATTCTAAAAGTAGTTCCAAGGTAGAAATAACAGAAAATTCAAAACCAGGAACAAGTAAACCTAAAAGTTCTGAAAGAGAAAGAATTCTTACATTCCATATTAATCATCTTAATAATGAATATAAAATAAATTTGTCTGAGTTTTCATCATTAAGTAAGTAATTAATACATTTTATATGTTATCTATGTATAGTAATTGAAATGAAAATTTTATATATAAAATATCTTTTTATAGAGGATCTCAAACAGCTTATATGGGTACAAACAAATGTGCCACCTTGCCAACAACGTCTTTATGGATGGAAGAAAGAACCAAAATCAGATTATAGATCACTGCAATCGTTAGATTTACCTAAAGAAAATACTTTATATATGTCTTCTGCAACAGAAGATGCTGATTTAACAAGTGATATGTAAGTAAATTTTTTGAAAATTTATGTATCTATAAAATATTTTAATTTTATATACAATTATGCATTTATTGTTTTTATAGAATGAGTTTATCAAATCGAATGAGACAAACATATACTTTAAATATTAAAGATGAAATAAAGAAGGAAACATATAACTTGAAATTTCCTGGAACCAATACAATCTTGGATGTAAAATCTGGCATTTATTCATTAACAACTGTTCCAGTTCGAAATCAACAATGGAAAGGCTGGCCAAGTTCAGTAAAAAACGATAATGTTATGTTAGCGGAAAGTGGAATTTCTTATCCAGAACATGATTTGTCTGTTAATGAAATCCCCATAAAAAAAGATAGAAAGGTATTGATAATCATATTGGAAATTTATATAGTTTTATTTAAAGTAATGTTTATATATTTTCAGGAAGTTATAGACCTAGTTGAGAGTGATAGTTCTATAGATGAGGATGATATAGAAGATGATGTTTTTGTAGATAATGTCAGATCTACAAAACCTCAACGTCTTAGTAAGAAAATTAATTTTTTTAAATTCAATTCTATATTATTAATAATGATTTGTAATATCTCTATTATATTAAATACTAAAAAGCTATTTGTTTCTAGTGCCAGAAAATGTAACAGATGAAACAATAGGAACAATGCATTTTGCAGAAGAATTCGAAAAACGATATGGACCAGCACATCCAGAATTTTTTACTGGTACATTTAAAGATGCTGTTAAAGAATCATGCTTAAAGCCAGCAAAAGAGGTTTGTAATTAATAGAATTATCATCTGTTTTAATTGGTATTTTATATAAAATTTATAATTTTTTTATGTATTACAGAGAAAATTGTTAGCTGTATATTTGCATCATGATAATAGTGTATTAGCAAATGTATTTTGCACACAGTTATTAAGTTGTGAGGCAGTACTACAAGTTTTGTCTGCAAATTTCATTGTATGGGGTTGGGATATTACATTTGAATCCAATAAGCAAAAGTATATATAATTATAAAATATAATTTTTTAATAACATCGAATCTTTTTTTACAAAATATTTTTAATTTACAGATTCCTTTCATCTGTAAAGCAAACATTAGGATCATTTGCAACATTAGCTATGGAAAATATAGATGTTGATACTTTACCTGCTCTTGTAATTATAATGAGAGCTAGATCCATTACAGAAATGTTTACAGTAATACATGCCAATGTCGGAGTAAATGAACTATTAACTAATTTAATTCACGTTGTTGAAGTATTTCAGGTAAATGAAAATTAATATACAATGTTAACACAATATCTAGCATTACATTTATATTTTTTTAAAACAGGAACAGAGACGAACAGATATTGGTGTTGAAGAAGAAAGACAAGCTAGAGAAAGAGTAAAACAAGAACAAGATAGAGCATATCAAGAAAGTTTAGCTGCAGATAGGTATATTAAAAATATATATAGTATTTTGATAAATGAATATATTCGTAAATAATTATTTTTATTTGTACATAATTTTAGAGCAAAAGAAGAAGCAAAACAAATGCAAGAAGAACTAGAAAAGCAACGAAAAGAACAGGCTAAAAACGAAAGGTTGGCTGAAGAAGCAAGAAAGGAAGCTCATAGACAAGCAGTTGAATCAAGTTTACCTCCTGAACCACAACAAAGTACTGGTGATGGAGTGCTAAAAGTACGAGTGCGGCTTCCAGCTGGAAAATTCCTGGAACGTAGATTTCGATCTGATACACCATTACAAACACTTCTTAATTTCCTTATTGTGGAAGGTTATCCAACAGACGAATACAAAGTTCTGTGTAATTGGCCTCGAAGGGATGTAAGTAGATGATGTAAGCACTTGAGTTCCCACTACATAGATGTGCTCCTCATTTTATTAAATATGGAGGAATGATCTTTTTACACGTGTTGTTAATTCGTTACAGTAAATTTAAATTTTTAGTGTAATTAAAATTTATTCAAAGTTACTTTTTTCAGTTAACTTCTATGGATTCGAAACTCACACTTATGGATCTGAAATTTTGCCCTCAAGAAACAGTAATTTTAGAAGAACGATAAGTAACTTGTAATTAAATTAAAATGTAGAAATTAAGCATTGCAATATTCTGAAAGTGTTATTTATTTAACAAGTTTTGAATAGTTATCAGTTAGTATGAATTCAGTTCATTGTGCAACTACATTTTTATGCTGTACTTTTTCGTACTTCTCATTCGTGCGACAAATGTAGTCTTACATTATAAAAAAAGTTCTTTCCATGCATGTGCATTGTATATTTTAAATTCCTAAAAATAAATTACATTTTAAAAAACCTCAAACAAAAGTAGCCTTTTGTTTGTTGTTACCATTATTGCAAGAAGTATTTAAAGATATATTAAAGGAGTTCAATTTGTAATAAATACGAATGAAATTCATAATAAAAAGATATTTTGAATAATATTAAATTTTCCTAAGAATTTTTATTATAAATATAAAGATGCAGCAAAAACAATATCACGCTTTATAAGTTTAATTGCTTCGCTAAATTTATTTTCTAAATCCGTATTTCCAATATTTTTTGCTGCCTGACATAACTGTCTAAGAACTTCTTCTAAACGACGCATACATCTTATGATAGAACCTAGAATGAATTAAAATTATATTTTTTAAGAATTATATATGAAATTTGATAATTTAATAAAAAAAATAATTTTAAATATACCTTCAAATATATCTGTCATTTTACAAATTTGCAAAAAAGTAGCTCCTTTACACCAAGCATATACAATGTCCATCAAATATGGTTTAAATCTTTCTACATATGCATCTTCATCTAGTTCTAGATTAGCTTCTGTAGATACTTTTGCTATTCTTCGAGCTAAATCCTGCATTTGTCTAAGTGGACCACTTAATTCTTCAGTACTCTTAGGCATCTCATTCGATTTGTCATCGCAAACAAAACAACTAATTAATGCTACCATTTGCGGAATACTTAACGAATTAAATAAACCATTAAAAATCATTTCTGTCATTAATAATTCATCAGTCCCATTAAGCTCACAAGCAACTCTGCCTTTTAATTCTATAACATCTGACGCTGTACAATATGCCATTCTTCGTAATACTCGTTTTCTACATTTTAATTCATCCATTTGAAGTATTGATTTAGCTTCTTTTAATTCTAATTTAGCTTGTTTCAGCTGATTACCTAACTCTTCTTTATATAAAAATTGTTCGTATAAAATATTTACATTAGAATCCTATATTAAGTAAAAAAAAAAATTAAAAATTCATTGTTATTGTAAAAATTATTAAAATCAAAAAAGAAAATATGTACATAAACAAAAAATGATTTTTTTACCTTATGCAATGGATGAGCATATAATCTCTCTTCTAGCATTTCAATTTTTTTAACAATATCTTTGAAGATTTCATCTTCAATATGCATATCTGTAATAGGATTCAACAATGGTGGTCCATCTGGAAATCTTTTTTTTACTTCCTGTATCGTTTTTAATACGCTTTTCCTGTTATCAGATGGTCTTAAGTCTTTCGGATAATACAATCTAAGTGAACTTATTTGGGAAATTAAAGTATGTATAACGGGAACTACTTCCATATCACCTTCTTCTCCTTCATGACAAGGTACAGGGCATCCTTCACTAGAGTCTTTAGAAATATGAAGTAATATATCAATAATAATAACAGTATTTTCTTTCGATGGATTTTTAGGGTTTTTCTTTTTGAAATTTACAATAATGCCCCAATCAAACATTTCATTTTCATTTTTTACCTACAATCACCAATATGATTATAAAAAAGTGATTTTGAACATAAATAACATGTATATGTGTATATAAATACATACTTTTACTAATCTTCCAGGTTGTAAAAATGGAAGTAAATATTCTGGTTTTGTTAAAAAAGATCTAAATTCAGTACTAAGACGTTCAAGTTGTTCACGTATATCATGATAGGAAGATATATGATTATACCTATCAATCGTCACTGCATTATATGCAATTTGCAAATCTTTTACTTCTACAATAATTCACAAAAATAATATTTTATTCTAAACCGTAATATTTAACAGACAAATAAACAATTCACTTACTGTTATATAGATTCGGAATAGAGGCTTGATTTTGAAATTGATAAAAACTCCTTTCCAACATATATTCTGGATTAATTTCCTCAACTCTTAAAAGATTCAAAACCATGTTGTAAGTTAAATGAAATGCTGAATTAATAGGATCTGGTTTCCCTTGTACAATTGCTTTACCAACGACTGGACTAACTTGCTCATCTATCATTAATATTACTATTCCTTTCTCATCTAAGCCTCTCCTTCCAGCGCGACCAGACATTTGTATATATTCTCCAGATGTAATCCAACGGAAATCTTTACCATCAAATTTTCGTGATGCTGCAAATAAAACTGTACGTGCTGGCATATTTAATCCCATAGCAAAAGTTTCTGTTGCGAATAATGCTTTTATTAATCCTTCTCCAAACAGTATTTCTACAGTTTCTTTCAAAATAGGTAAAAGTCCACCATGATGAATACCTATTCCTCGTCTCAAAAGAGGTAATACATTTTCAACTTGTGGTAAACGTCGATCTTCTGGATTGAGAACATCCATAGCATTATTAAATACTTCATCTACTAATTTCTTTTCTTCTAATGTATTTAAATCTAATTTAGCCAATTGCATTGCATATGTCTCACAATCCTTTTTCGAAAAATTAAATATAATTACGGGTGCAAAATTTCTTTCCATAATCATTTTAACTATCTTAAAAATATTTGTTTGTCCAACATTTGATGGGCGAATACCTCCTTTACGACCTTTAGTATCCCCTTTAGCTGCATCACCATGTTGCAAGCAAGACATTGCTCTATTAAAATTTTCTTCTTTAAATTGTCCCATTTCATCTACAACCTACATAAATTATAAACATAGATATATAAATATAAGTTGGTTATTTCATCACAAGTTATTTGTTTATTGTAGTCTATATACCAAGTGGATACCATCGCCTCCAACAGGAAATATATAATGCTGTAAAGGAGTTGGTCTGTAATCTGTATAAACAACATGACATGGTTGCTTGTGTAAATGTGCAACCCACTCTACAAATTGTCTGGCATTAGGTATAGTAGCAGAAAGAAACACATAATGTACATTATCTGGTAGTAATATTAATGTTTCCTCCCAAACAACCCCTCTTTCTTTGTCACGCATATAGTGAATTTCATCAAAAATTACCCATCCAACTTCACGCATTACCTAAATATTATATGTATTATCGAGATTAAAAGAGAAAACTAAAATATTATTTATATTTAATTATATTTATAATAAAATTTTAGAAACCTCAGATCCTCTATACAGCATATTCCTTAAAATCTCAGTAGTCATGATAAGCACACTTGCTGTTGGATTAATCGTAACATCTCCAGTTACCAAGCCAACATCCTTAAAGTCTTCAAAAAATTCTCTATATTTTTGATTACTTAATGCCTTTATGGGTGTTGTATAAATAACTCTTTGTTTATCTCTTAATGAACATGCTATTGCATACCTATTTTGCACATTATTATTATAATTAACAATAGGTTTGATTAAAAATTTGTTATTTTTTCAAACTGTAATACATACTCTGCAACAACAGTTTTACCAGCTGATGTATGTGCAGAAACCAAAACTGACTGATTATTTTCAATACATAATATTGCTTCTTTCTGAAAAGGATCCAATACAAATTTATATTCTTTGGCTGGTTTGCCTTGTTTATTTTCCAGGGGTACATATTCATAATCTGGTGGAACTGCAACTTCATGTGTACATGACTCAATTGTTTCTATTGTATGTATTTTAATACGTGATGTTAATTCTTCTATACTATAAAAATTTAGAAAAAAACATTATCCAAAGATAATTATTAAATGATCTAGGTAAAATTTTGCAAATAATTTTTTTCTAAGAGAAACAACTATTTTATCTTACTTTAAATCCTCCAATATAGGATCAGGCCGTGATTTTTTGGAAATAAATTCATCAGAATCATTTTCAAGTTCTCGTTTAGTTCCACTTTCTGCATTAGTTTCTCTGCATGCATATTATTTCTTTTAATTAAAAATATTCCTTAAATTTACTTTCAAAATATAAGTTACGAAGAGGTTATGGAATCAACTTACTTTTCGTTTAATAATACATTTAAAATTTCATTTTTTGACTTTACTGGAGTTGGAATTACTTCTATTATATCTTCTGTTTCTTCAAAAACGTCAAATAAATCCTCAGTGAAATTAGCCATTACAAATATAAATTTATATCGCGTGTAATGTGGACGCTTTTCATCGATTCCTTACCAAGCTGTTACTTAATCGATATTCACTATCGAAAGAGGAATCGATTATCGAATTTTAATTCACTATCGAAAGAGGAATCGATTATCGATTATTAATTTTAAATTTCGATCAATTATTTGAAACTTCCATACTTACAGTATAACTTAATTTCCAATGAAAAAATTAAATGATATATTAATTAAAGCACAAATGCGTAAATAAATTCAAAAATATCTTCATTGTGAAATGAGAATTGTCATAGAATTGACAATGCAAAAAGAATTATGAAATATTTACTGAAATGCCTACGTAAATTCAAGTAATTGCCTTTTAGACTCAATTATATTAATTAGGTTGAATTCTTTAGTTTCATAATTTATTTCAGCTATACATCAGTTTTCTTTGGTTTAAATTATTTTTTACAAAACTTATTTTCAAAAATAATTTTGAAATAAAATGTATAAAATTCAATAAAAAAAGCAAAAAAGTAATATGTATGAAATATATAAGTAATCCTATTTCTTTTTGTTATAAATTATTAAATATTTATGAAGTATATAAATATGTATTAATTCATTTTTCATTAATTTATGTCGTTTGAAATTGAACCATGGATAAAATATGGATAATTTTTCTATTTAGCCTATTCAAATGTATTAATATATTAAAGAATAAAGACTCTCGAACGAACAGGTCGAGTTTATATGACGAAGAAACGGGACTTTCAGTTTCTTTTGGGCGTTCGCGAGTGGAACGTCGTGAGTATAACGGTCACGCTGGCACGCGCGTGAAAGTTTTGTCTCCCGAGCGCCCAGCCTCCTCCACAAAGTTTATTGACGCAGAAAAAAGATTGAAACAGATACACAGGTATTTAAAAGTACATGTAAATTTTCAAAATCAATGAATAATTTAAAATCTAATTTATATTCAATAATTTAATTTTATAATTATTTTCAGTTACTTTTTTATACATCATTTTACTTAGTGATATATTTTATTATATTAGTCCTTCTTAATTCCTCAAATAGCAAATAATTTTTAAATTAATAAAAAGAAATGAATATTTAAAGGCAAATACGACTTTCATTTTTATTAAACAATATTGGTGATTCGTGAGAATATTTCATTGAAATTATATTTATATTTCATAACACTTTATTCGTGAAGATTTATTTTATTTTAAATTGTATGTGTACATTTTAAAGAAGCATGAAAAAGATCTTCCTATAAATCAATTGACGATTATAGAATGTATCAATCAATAAGATTGAATGATGTATACTACTATGTTTTAATAACAAATCATACTTACATACACCATAAGAACACCTGCAGTATTTCAATGATATTTACATTCAACTATTTATTCAACTATTTGCATTACTTAGTAATTTGTACATTTGTCTTTAATTACAATTGTTCAACTAATAGGATAAAACTTTAAGATGATTTATGAATAATTTTCAAATTTTAGATATTTAACTAACTGATTTATCTATGATTCAGCCATGATTTAAATGTTCATTATATCAATGAAAGATCAGCAATTCTATGAATTTTAAAGATTATAAAATAACAAAATAACAATTTGAGTAAAGAAAAAGATTATAAAATAATAACAAAATAACAATTCTTAGTAGAGAAAAATTTTTACGTTGAACAAGAATTTAAAAAAAAAGGCATTTCGTGAGTACGCTACGCGACACTGCGAGGAAGTTGCGAAATGGTGTGAGTCTCAACAGAATGGCCATATGTTAGAATCGAAGGACGAAGATATAAGAACAAGAAACGATCAATAGTCCACGTACTGAAAAAAAACAGGGTTTATTCAGAGTCAATTTTTCTTAAACATTTTACGTGTCCTCCGAAGAAATTTCAGTCATTCACTTTCATAGATTGATCTTAATTTATTTTTTTCATAGATTAATCTTAAAATCACTCGTTTAATTTTATTGTTCTACAAATATAACAAGAAACTTTATTATCCTATAACATATAATAATATCAAAATTTAGTTGAAATTTCTAAATAATAATATAAAAAAGCACTTCTAAATAATAATTTTAAAAAAATACACGTCAATGATTTGTCCGAATTATTAAATTATGGAACGAATTGACAAGAGAATTTCAATACATTCTCTATATTTGATTTCACGCATTTAACATTACATACCGTTTTTATTGAAAAAATTTTAAGTATGTAACAAAATTATAATACACATATTACATTAGGCATTAGAAATTCTGTTATACATATACTTCAACAATTACTTAATTTTATTAGCTACTGCGTTTTGAGAATTATATTTTCTAAATCATAATACGTCACCATTTTCTTAATATTTCTTAATTTCATTATTTAAGTAGTTAAGTTTAGTTAAAGAAAAACTGTAGAAAATAATGAATATCTCAGCTAGAAGAATTGAATCACGTGTATCTGAGTAATGCACCGCACATTGTCTGTCGAAGCACGTAAGTACATACATACATGGATCAGTAATACTGACGTAATCTTTCGTTGATCATTGAATATGCAGATACACTTATTGCTACGGAGCAATTGTTATTTTATACTTTCTCCATGGAAAAAAGAAAAGGTATAGATATTATCTTCTGGTTGTTTAGCCGACTCCAAGAGTTAAGTTTTTATACTTATACAATAATACAAAACATAAATCTGCATATATGAAAGTTGTACTTGGCCTGGGGCTTTTTCGCCTTTCTTCTACCACTGAAAGAAAATTTTCACCGCATGAATATTAGCTCTTAGCTTCATTTTATTATCGATCAGCGATTAATTTTTCCTTTAATCCTATAATTATTTCTTTAATCCTATATTATTATATATCTACTGAATTTTACAATCTTGATGATATTTAACTCTTAAAAGTTATGTTTCTTTTATTTCGGATGTTTGTACTCTTGATTTTCTTCGATTCTATTGATCCGTACAGGATTAATCTGTACAGTTTGTAAAATTACAATCCATCGCATATGTTTGGAAAAAATTCGTTTTAATTAAGCAAAAATCTTTACTTGTACAAAAGGATTTGTTAGTCAATTAAAAGAGCAAGTCCATTCCTTCTAAGAATGCAGCGTAATAGAATGAAGACGCGATTTATTTTCGAACTG